CCACATTGTTAGTTTTAGAAGGCCAGAATACAGGCAACCAGAGGAACAGCCTATACCTTTCAGAGCTCAAGTAGTCCCTACACAAGATCCCTACCAGTCTACCTACCAGACAGAGATTAGAATTAGAAATATCTTCAGATATATACTCTTTTTTTTTTTTTTTTTTTTTGGTACTGAGGATTGAACTCAGGACCTTGTGCTTACCAGGCAGGTGCTTATGCCACTGAGCTAAATCCCAGCCCCAGATATATACTCTTGAAGGTCTAGGAAGGATAACAATTAAACCCTTCAATTGCTTTAAGTTGTCAACTATTAATCAAGAGAAAGATGAGACCCCTCTGCCTTCTTAGATCATTTACAAGAGGTGTTGATGACATATATATCCCTGGATGTTGGGAGCTGCTAAAGCTAGAAATTGACCACACCTGTGGAGGGTGACACAAGCCCTGTTCACCTGGGACAAACCACAGAAACAAGTGACTCTAGGCCCCAAAACATCAAGCTCTTAGATTTCCGTAAATGCAGATTACTAGGCAACGAGGTGTTATGTGACATTAAGTTGCTCAATATATGTAATAAACACACGGCTTTGATATGTTAATTCCTTTCTTCCCATAAGGAGAGAGGGCTCCAACTGACCTCAGCTTTCATCTTTTGTCTTTATTTTCCTATCTTTTTGCCACCTTTCCAGCACCTGATAACTTTAACTGAGCCCCAAGTGGCAATTCCTGCTTTTTCAGCCCAGAGAAATTTTTCTGAATTATAGGTCAGAACTTCTGCCACTCAAAGAGAGGAGCCATTTTCACTTTCTCCCTTAGTACTGGCACTAAAAGAAGCCAGATGGACAAGGAGTCCATGGAGGGTTTCCAACCGGTGTACCCTTTTTTGGAGTTAAAGCCCCTAATAACCAAGGACAAATTATACATTTTTATGAAGCTGTATGAGTTTAAGTCACTAAAAGAATAAAAAAAACAAGCTATGCCTACCTATGGCCCTATACCCTCTTTCACCTGGAATTTTGTAGAGCTCCTCGGACAACAGATTATGGCCCCAAATAATTGGAAAGTAGTATCCAAAGTGTGTGTAAGCTTGGGGGATTACGTTCTGTGGAAAGGAAATATTTTTTTGATTTGTTCAGCTCAGTGCTGCTTACAACGTAGCCATTATGAAAGATAGGTTCATTGGAGAAGATGCCTTTGCTGCCACAAACAATCAATCTACTTTTGAATTGCAAGTATATGAGCAAATTAAAGTAGTTACCATGAGAGCTTGGAGGGAACTTCCTTCAAAGGGTGAAACATCCCTTGATTTGACTTCCATTCATCAGGGTCGTGATGAACCTTTTCAAGATTTGTGGCACGCTTATGGCAGGTTATGAGAGAATTATAAGAGACACAGGGACTAGCAAGTTAATTTTTTAACAATTGGCCTGTAAAATGCTCATAAATGATGGAAGGAGGCTTTGAGAGCCTATATGAAGTGGGCTATGCTGTCTGTGATGTTTCAGATTTGTGCAGATATTGGCCTCTCCTATATACAGGGGTCTGCCTTGGTAGTATCTGTTACTCAGAATACTCACTCACAGCCAAAGGAAAAGGAAAAAAAAAACAGTTACTTGTTTTTGTTGTATGAGGAACATTTCACCCAAAGCTGCTCTGTTGCACCTGTAAGAACAGTCAGCCATTATCTGTCTCTTCAACAAAATGTTCTAGTCCTTGTGCAAACTATTGATGAGGGTATCATTTAGCAAGTGAGTGTGAACCCAAAAGTGATGTAGAAGGCTGGGGACTGCCTCAGCCCCACCAAACCATCAGGGTGCCTTCCTCAATTCCTCCACAACCCATTCATTTGCCAACAAGCACATTTCTGACTTCTGGTAAATGACAAAAGACAGTGGAGGCTTGGACGTCAGTCCCTCCTCCAGATTCATACTAACTCCTGAAATGGGATCCCAAATTATTCTCACTGGAGCTTATGGGCCTTTGCCTCAAGGAACAGTGGGACTTCTGCTAGGCTACAGCAGTCTCATTTAATAGATCTACAGGTTTTGCCTGGTGTCATCAATGCTGAGCATACGGGGAAATCAGGGTTATCATTCAGTCTATTTAAAACACTGTTCAAATCACTTCAGATTCTCATATCACTCAATTGGCCATTTTTCCCTTGACAATAATTGGAAAATCTGCGCATAAGGAAAGGGGATCCTAGGGTTTTGGAGCTTCTGATGCCTACGAGTTCAGCAGATTAAGCAGTATTGTCTGAAATGGAATTGATTATTAAAGGAAAAGCATTCAAAGGACTTTTAGACACAGATATAGATGTTTCAGTTATTGTCCAATGCCATTGGCCTATGGCATGGCTTCTGGATGTAGCAACTGCAGATTTACACGGGGTACGTAATGTTTCTTACCCTAGTAGAAGTGCTAAATTGTTGACCTGGAAGGATGCAGGAGGCCATTCAGGATGTTTCTCATCTTATGTTCTCCCCCATACACCAGTAAATCTATGGGGATGTGACATATTACAAGATATGGGGGTGTTTGGGGTTAACGCTAATTCCTTAGTGACTCATCAGACTCATCAAGGTTTTCTCCCCACTTAAGTGCTTGGCTTAGTAAATATAACCAAAAAAGGAGAGAATCCTTTCCAACAGACCCTAAAAAAGATTGTTTTCACCCGGGATACTCTCCTTCACATTTTTTAGGAGGGGCCTTGGTCTCTTTCCAACCCCACAGACAGCATCTAAGATAACTTAGAGGTCTGATGACCCTGTTTGGGTAGATCAATGGCCCCTCACACTGGAGAAGCTTATAGCATCTCATAGTTTGGTCTGTGAGCAGATGATAGCAGGACACCTAAAATTCTCCAAAAGCTCTTGGAATACCCCAATTTTTGTAATAAAAAATTAGAAATGTGAAGATTGCAATAGAATTTATGGCCATTAATTGCACAATAGAATCTACAGGAGCACTTCAACTAGGATTGCTCAGTCCTGTAGCTATTCCTTTTTCTCTCATGGTGACTGACTTAAAAAACTGGTTTTTAACATTTTCCCTCCACTCTCAAGATAAACAGTGTTTTCCTTTAGTTTACCCTCTATTAATTATTAGGCCTTTTTGCTACTTCCAAATATGATGTCTAACACAAGAAGTGACAAATAGTACAGCCCTATGTCAAGAGTTTGTGACTGCAACCATTTTGTCAGTCCTTCAGGCTTATCCATCTGCTTATTGTATTCATTATATGGATGACATACTAATAGCACATGAATCCTCATCCACTTTACACTAAGTGTTTATCCAATTAGATAATGCCCTTCATAGCACAGGCCTAGTTGTAGACCCTGAAAAGGTGCAACTATGGCATTTTTTGCATTTTTGGCTTACTTCACCCAAAAAAGACACATTGTGCCTCAAACTGCTCAGATTTAAGTTAATCATCTTGCAACCTTAACTGATTTTCAGACTATACTTGATAATGTTAACTGGCTCTGCTCAGCTCTTGGGCTAACAACTCATGATTTAAGCCTTCTCTCTGACATTGTTAAGGGGAATACGGCCCCCATGTCTCCAAGGACACTTATGTAGAGGCTAAAACTGCCTTGGACAAAGTTAATCTGGCTCTCTCTAAAAACCAGCTCTATAGAGTTGATCCATTTTTACTAATATTTTAAATTTTTTTCCAAGTCAGCCTATTGCCACTGGGGTCCTTTGGGAATCTCAAGGCCCTTTACAATGGTTACATATGCCATATACTCCACATAAAAAACATTACTACCTTCTATGGTATTGTTGAAGAACTGATTGCACATGGGCAATAGCGTGCTATTCAGCTTTTTGGTTGCGAGGTGCAAACTATCATTGTTCCTTTTTCTTCTGTTCAACAAAAGTGGCTGTGGGAATTTTCATCCTCTTGGAAATCTGCTTTGGCTAACTTCTATGGTGTTGTTGATTTTCATTATCATTCAGACAGTTTAGTTCAATTTGCCTGCCTCACACCTTCATCTCTCCTTCAAAAGTAAGTTTGGTCCCCATAGCAGTAGACGTATTGTTTTCACAGATGGGTCATTTTTGGGCAAAGGAGGTTAGGTAATGACCTCCTCTTCCCAAATTCAGGATATGAGTTTTTCTTCTGAATTACAAGCTGTCATATGGGCCTTTCAATATTATTCATCCACTTCAATTAACTTCTTTGCAGACAGTGCTTATATCTGTGGTGTGATGCACCGTATTGAACCGGCATTATACACACTGGTCAAGAACATCTTTTGCATCTATTTCACTCTCCAATGTGTCATTTAGTCACACTATGTTACCTGTTTTCTCAGTCATTGTATTCTCATTCCCAATTCCCAGGCCCTCTCACTGAGGAAAACATTGCAGTAGGCAGATTGCTGGCTGCTGTTACTGTTGCTCCCTCAGATGCCATTCAACAGGCTTTTGCCTTCCATGCCACCTTTCATCAGAACACTTCTCCCTTTTGCAAACAGTTACATTTAATCCTGGAACAGGCTCAGCAAATTGTTAAGCAGTACTCTTCAAGAGTAATACATCTTCCCTCACTGTCTATGGAGGTTATTCCCCAATAGTTACACACAAATCATCTCTGGAAGATGAATGTCACTCACATTCTTGAGTTTGGTTTTATGCTAGGTCTACATTTCAGTGGGTACTTTCTCAGGATTTATTTTTCTTCTTTCACTCACAAAGTGGCTAAAAATATTTACTGCTTGGATGTCTTTTGTACCCCTGGATGCCTCCAGGCACTTAAGACTGACAGGTTCAGCCTACACAAGTCCTGCTTTCCAAATGTTTTGTAAATTTTTTTTATATTTTCCTTATTACAGGAATTCCTTATAACTCTCAGTCAAGCAATTATTAAACATGCTCACCATACACTCAGAACTTCAATTACAAAAACAAAAGGAGGGGCCATTCCCAACAAAAATTCATACCTCTTAATAGACTTCACTTGGCAGTATATACTATTAATTTTCTTACCAGCCAGTCCAGCAAGATTGAAGGGCCTCAAGACACTTTCTACCTTCAATTTCTGGCCAGACTGTCATCTCCATGGAGGAGCCCAGGTAATCATGGCTATAGAGGGAAAAGAAAACAGTCTATTCCTGAACACTAAAGCTGTCTCTCAGTCCTTTTGAACTAACCTTGATTCAAGCCACCATACTTCAGTGAAAGGAGTCACTGGAGAAGAGGTAAATCATTATTTCTCACAACATTTAGCATGCAACTTGGGTAGCTTTCTCTTCTCTTAGTACTTTTTGATTATGACTGAAGGTCTAGTTCCTCTCCTGGGGACAGACATCTTATCTGGTTTGAATACTGTAATATACATGCACTCAGGTTGGATACTGCATCCTCCTCATCTAAACAGAAATAAATCCTGAAGTATGTGCTACTAAAAGTAAAATATGAAGAACAATAACAGCTGCCCTAGTATAAATATATCTTAAAGATTCCACTGTTTTTTTGCACCAGAGACAATACCGTCTAAAGCTTGAAATTAAAAAAGGACTATTGCCTGTAATCTACAGCTTAAGGACACAGGTTTGCTTATTACCTGTAAAAGCCCCAACAATATTCCAATCTTAGGAGATAAAAAATGCAGTGGAGAATGGAGGTTGGTACAGGACCTTAGATTGGTAGATGAGGCAGTAGTGCCAATTCACACAATCATACCTAACTCCTACACTCTCCTTTCTCAGATCCTGGAAGGAGCTGATTGTTTTTCAGTGTTAGCTTTTAAAGATGCCTTCTTTTGCATTCCTTTATGCACAGAGTCCTTTGAAAATCCACATAACTAGGCTTTTCAACTGACTTGGACTGTGCTTCCTCAAGGGAATCTGTGACAGTCCTCATCTTTCTGGGCAAGTGTTTTCCCACACCTTGGCATATTTTGTATTTTCCCAAGTCACAGTCTTGCAATATGTAGATAATATACTGTTATATGCCTCTTTAGAAGAGTTGTCTAGCCAAGATAGCCATGCCCTGCTGAATTTTCTAGCAGATAGAGGTTATAAGCTCTTCAGGTCTAAGGCACACTTTTCAGTCTAGAGGTAAAATACTTGGGCTTCATCATAAGCTAATGAGATCTGAAGACTGGGAGAAAAGAGAATTAAACCAGTACTTTCCTTTTCTCAGTTCAAGACCTTAAATTAGCTAAAGGGATTCCTAGGAATTGTAGGCTTTGCTATCTTTGGATTTTACAGTACGGTGAGATCATATGACCCCTCTATCAGCTTATAGAAGAAACCAAAAAGTCAGGTACCTATTTTTAAACCTGGATTACCAAACTGCATTCCAGGAGTTTAAACAAGCACTTCTAAATACCCTGCCACTGAGCCTACTATGAAGACACCATCTCAATGTTGATGGAAGGTGGAGAATAGCTTTGGGAGTGCTTATGCTGGACGGAGGAACTGCTTAACAGCCTGTAGGGTATCTGACTCATACATTCGACTTTGTAGCAAAGGGGTGGCCTGTGTGCTTTAAGGTTGTGTCTGCAATAGCTCTCTTGGTACCAGAGGCATCCAAATTGACGTTAGATGAAGATATCACCATATGTGTATCTCATAAGTGTGTCAGGACTTCTTTTTTCCAAAGGGAGCATATGGCTATCAGACAACTAACTTCTCAAATATCAGTCTCTACTTTCAGAAGGACCAAGCATTTAATCAAAGAAATGTTCCTCTTTGAACTGTGCCACCATTATGCCAGAAAGGGAAGTCTCATTGAAAAACATGACTGCAAACAGGTAATTCTTCCTGCATACACAGCCAGAGAAGCTTATTACTTCACCCGTCTCTTCCAGACTTAAAGGGACAAGAACACATGACATCTACCATGGGCCTTTATATAGACGCTCTGGATAATATCTCTGACTGACGATCACAATTACGACACCCTATCAGAAGGGTGGCTGCCCCTTCCCGCCTCATGGGAGTCAGGGGTACGTCTTCAGAGGAGGGGAATATTATAGAAATATTATAGGATGCCAGACAGGACTAGGCCCTGAAGAGAGTCAGTAAAGAGGAAGAGAACATGTTAAAACTGTGACTGTAGGCACATCTGCCAAAGGAGAGACTTCAAAATAAAGATGGAATGGCCTTGCCTAAGTGGGTCCTCAAGGGATAAACAATAAATTGAAGATTACACTATAATTGGCATTACCTGCTCCAATAAAGTCTAGATAGACATTAGTCACCCAAGTGGATGATCAGGAACTTCAGATCTGTCCCTTCTTAAAAAGGTCTTCATTTTTTCCAGGTACACTTGCTATCTGACTTGATTTCCCATTGAATCAATATTACCCAAGTGGTTATACTTGTACTTTTCTTGGTTGATCACAGTTTTGATCCATGTTGTACCCGCTCTATAAAACTTCCTCTGTGAAATGGGGTCTGTCACAGCCCGTTATTGTGTCCCATCCTATCACTCAGGAGTTGCCTCTCTCAATACATTTTCCCTAATCTTAACCTCTTTGTTCCTTAAAATTCATTCTTTGATTTTGGGGAATAATAACTCAGTGTATATGACATCCACTAGGTTGGCATTACATTTATCTCTTCTAAATCACTAGCATTTGTTCCTGGAATATCAAGTTCACTGAAAGGCTTGATAGTGTTAAAATAAGCATTGACAGATTATAGAGTCAAATGAAAAATTTACTTATTTATTTATCTAGTTATTTATTTGCATATAAAGTTTACTTGTTTATTTTTAATGATACAACATGGGGTTTACTCTTTTGTCTAGACTAACTTCCTGTAAATATTAGAAACACTACCCTAAAAACCATAATTCCCCTTGCAGAAGCAAATTCATTTTTACTACTCATTTAATCCTATGATTTTGAATCCCCAACTCTGCTGCAGTGTGCCAGTTTCATACTTGGATGTTTTGCCTTTTTGTTTTTGCTTTCCAGGAATGGACAGTTAGAATATCTTACACAAGTAATAGGAAAAATTTAGTTTGGCAATACAGTAAGGCAACCATTCCTCCATAAGAGAGCATTTCTGGAAAGTTTTTAGAAAAATTTTTTATGTTTTTTGTACATTATTCTAAATAAATAAATAAACCTGGAAAGTAAAATATTTTATATAAAAATAATGAATATTACTTATAAATATAATCAAGAAAATTAAATTTTATAAGGATTAAAATTGTACATGATCAAATTTATATATGAAAAGTTTATCTTACATAGACTTAATAGTAATAGTTTTGCAACAAAGAAAACTCACAACAAATGAATCTATAACCGATTACTATCATACGAACAAAAGTTCATCTATAAAATCTTGTTTTAATCAAAGAGGTGAGAATTGATTTAGGAAAAGTAGATTTTAGTAAAAGAAACATAAATATAGAAAACAATGAAAAGTATTTGACAGTATTTATAGAGACTAGTGAAAGAAGTGACTTAATAAGTTTGCCTCTTGAGATCTTATCAGTTTTGGAGTAATGTTGATTTCATGATTATTTTTAATTAAAAACCAATAAACTTTATCTTTTAATGTTTGTTTTCATAATATGAAGTCCAATTGTTCCCTAGGATTAAAAGTGGGGCTTTGAAACCATTTGCTTGATCAAAGTAATGTTAAAATTAACCCAAACAGTGGGCTGAAGTATTCTGGATCTTTGACTTGCTTGTTGTATGGCAAAAGCTAATTCATAGCCACATTTCGTGGGTACTGCTTTGTGCATAGCATTGTGCAATGCAGTTCATGGTCCATGAAAGGTTCATGAATTCTTCGGACAAAATGTGTGATAGGTGTTAGCACCTCCCTTTTGCCGGTATAGAAACTTTACATCAGCCTGGTGAAGTAACTCACTCGAAAATGCCCACCTCTTTATGGATTTGTCTCCCAAGACCTCTTCTCATTCTGTACCACTGCCATCTACATAACCGCTATCCTAGGACAAAGCCCTTGGGCATCATTGACATTCAATTCTCAGTTCTGTTAATAAGTAGTGGAACACTGCATTAGTGTTCTGAATAATTTGTTACCATCCTTATAGAATGATCATATTATTATGCCTATTGTCACATGACTTCTTGCAGAATCTCTTTATGTGAGTTTATTCCTCTTCTCTTCCTGACATTCAGCTTAGCCATGACTTACACTGTCACAAGCAAGAATGACCCAAGTTTCCCTCAAACCAAACCCTTCAGAATCAGTGCATGTTTCTGCCATTGTCTACTTTCTGTTTATGTAGTCCTAAGCTTTGACATTGTCAATATTCTGAGGTAGATACGTGTTGAAAGTGGTAGTGGAGATAGAGATTTGTCCTGTGAACTGTAGGATGCTTAGTATCATTCTGACTTCTACCCACTAGATGCCAGTAATACCCTCCTCTCAACTGTGACCACCCAAGATGTCTACAAATATTAAAGCACCCTGGGAGGTGAAGTCATCCCTAGTTAAGAACTATAGCTTTACCATGATAATGACCTGCCCAAAGAAGCTGTGTTTTTATCCTTCATTTTAGAATCTAGGTTTAGATTTTAGAATCTTTTTCTTTCTTTCTTTCTTTCTTTCTTTCTTTCTTTCTTTCTTTCTTTCTTTCTTTCTTTCCTTCTTTCCTCTTTCATTCATCTATTTATCGTATCTATTTATCTATCATCTATCTATCTATCTATCTATCTATCTATCTATCTATCTATCTATCTATCTGAGAGGCCGACTATGCTATACATAACACATATGAGAAATAAATCTTTTTTCATGTAAGTCTCTTAGATTTTGGGGTTGTTACATAACATAACATAACATAACATAACATAACATAACATAACAAACATAGTGAAATCTGAATGCTATAGACTTATAGCAGGAAGAGCAGGGGCATCTTATAGATCATCATATCATGCTTTAAGTTAGTTTAATATATATATATATATATATATTATGATGATTAATAAACCATCAATTAATAATTGAGTAGTATTAAAAAGATCAATATTAGTCAAATAGACAACCTCAGATTTACCAACTTTGTCTTCTTACACCTGTTGGGAATTAATAAGTTAAGACAAGAGTAGTTTCCTATTTGTATAATCAGTTAGTTTTTGTCCCTTAGTTGCCAAGGGGGACATGATGGATCTGGGAAGCAAGGGTAAAGGTATTGTGGCATTTGTAGAAGTAGATCTTGCCCCTGACTGTTGCTATTGGCTGGGGATCACATTTCTCAGAGCATTAGAACCTCACCTGAATACTTTACAGAATGCTTGAGTCAATTACTATATAGAAAGTGACTGCAATGATGCCTATCATATTTTAAGTAATAAATGCTAGCTTACTGTTGATATTATTACTATCTTGGAGAAATTAATAAATTCTAAAATTTCAGCACAGTACCACATTTAAAAATTGCTTGCATTTAAGTATTTTATATTCACACTATGTATTCGAATATTTGTTCTGTTAATTATGTGACAGTGACATGTATGTACAGGGCATGTTTCTTTCCACCATAACAGAATTTAGAAACACCCCACAAGCTATCCTGCTTCTCAATGTCTGAGTTACAAATGAGGTTACATTTGAAATTATGGCTTTCTTTAAGGGCCAAAAGAAATATCATAGATATTTATATGTAGTACTTGAATATCTGATAAATTTATAGGAAGTTAGTACTTGTTAGCTTTTTTTGATAACAATAAAAAGACAAAATCTTAGAAAAAGGTTGGTCTGAAAAAAAATTATAGAGAATCTCTCAAGTGTGACCTGAGAGAGTAACAGTTCATTAATGTACCCAAGGTCAAGTAGCTGTTATATGGCAGAATAGAGGCATAATCACTGACCAGTGTTCAGTGGTGATTGGATATTTGATTTGTTGGGGTCATTTGAATTAATGCAGTGGTGTTTTAGCCAGCTGTGTGTCCCATCCATTCTGTTTACAGAAGTCCCTTCAAAATCTAGTTAAGGTGGTCAGTGGGAAGCTCAGAGACAGAGGGGCCTCTAAAGGCAATCCAGCAACGCCACACACACCCTTTTGGTCCTTGGGCACCACCAGGGTATAGAGAGAACACTGTTCAAAATCGAAAGACCTTGATCCAGCCAGGCATGGCAGCATATCCCTGTATCCCAGCATTTAGAGAAACCTGATTCAGGATGATTACAAATTCTAGTCTTGTCTGGGCAATTTAGCAAGCCCTTGTCTCAAAATAATGAATTTTCAAAAGGGTTGGGAATGTAGTTCAGGGGTCAGGTGCCCCATGCTGGTTCCATTCCTTCCCTCTCATCTTATGAGGCATCATTCAGATATTGTAACCTTTTAAAAATACATAATGACAAATGCATACAATCATCTACCACCGCCACAATATAGGTAGAGAACAGTACTATAATTTCCAAATCTTACTTTTTTATTTTTTTCCCAATCCTCAGGTCCTGGCAACCACTGGCCTATTCTCTGCCCCCGAAGTCTTGCCTCTTTCAGACTGTCATAGAAATGGACTCTTGCATTGTGTGATTTTGGCTTCTTTCACTTAACATAATGCATGTGAGATTTGTCGTGGTCATGTTCTTATTATAGACTGCAGATCTGTGAGTCAGTTTTTTAGCTTCTTTGATCCTTAGTGTCTTTACCTATAAAATGGGCACACAACTTACTTAGCATTTATGATGTCTGCCTTGGAAGAAAGAATGTACACACATGCATTAGGTAAGAGGAAAAACACGTGTACAAGTCTGTTACTCTTTTGAGGTTGCCCTTTGAAGAGATTCCAGGCACAAAAGTAGCCCTTTTTGTAGCCTAAACTCCACAGAAGCTTTGTTTGCTGAGTAGGGCAGGAACTGCCATCACTGTTAGACTTTTCTCCAACTACAGGACTATGTGACATGATTCAAAATCTTACAGGAAACATTACCTAACACGGACTGTACCCAGGAAATATAGACCTCTCCATCATATTCCCCCTCCTAGGCATGGGAAAGTCTAACCTGTCTCCAGAATACTTTTATCTCTTTGGGTGAAAATCAATTTTCAAAACACAACTAACTAATAATAGTAATTGTATTGTGGAGAAAATAGGATTTTCTAACATAAGGAGCACCAAGCAGTTTGACAAGAAGACAGGGCTTCTCTTGGCTCAAAGTCACAGGGAGGAGTGTGAAAGCCAGATTTGCATTGCCTTCTGAGTGCTGTGTGGTTGTGAGTTGCAGAACACAAATCACCAACATGTATTTGCTGGGCACTTTTGCCTGGCTGTGGAGCACTGGAGGTCAGCCTTTGATTTTTCTTTCCCATCCAATGACATGTGCCTGGCAGATCATCAAAACTAGTGAAGATACAGTTCATAGCCAGACAAGGAAAACAAACAGCCGGGGTAAGGGGGGGGGGTTGATACTATCTGGTCCTGCCGTTAATTATGTCACTTTGCCTGATCCACGAAACAAGGGGGTTGTAATATGTTACCATGGAGTCTCAAGTTATCTCCTGAAGGACCCAGTTAGGCTCCCAGCTCAGAGCACCGGGGAAGAGGGAGAAGAAAGTAACAATCCCGAGCCTTCCAGTGAGAGCCTTCAGAGAAGCTCACTCTTTCCAGCACTAGCTGAATAGGATTCCAATAAACATATTGCTGAAATGTTTGTTTCCGGGTGTCATTTTAGACTGCAAGTAGCTAAAACAGATCCGGCTCCTATATATAGATCCTGCATTTGGTTGTGTTCTGGGAGGCTTTTATTACTACGCTCCTTGGCTGGCACCCAGCTGCGCTCTTCCCTCAAGGATGAGATTTTGGAATCAGAAAGTCAAAGAAGATCAGTGACCATATTAAGGGGTCTCTCCAGTTTCTCTCTCTCCCTCCTTCTGTCTCTGTCTCTGTCTCTGTCTCTGTCACTGTCATCTCAGTCTCTCTCTCTCTTCTTCTGCTAATGCTCCATTCTGCAGGTGAATACCAGCATAGACTGGTTTTTTTCTTTCCTCAAAGCCCCCTAATAATAATGATGACAATGCTGATGGACACTCACCAGCCCCACAATGACAGAAAATATAAGTAAACACCACTGATATCCTGGGTTTCAAGGGAACGTTGTAGAATCTGAGCTGAAATGATGTATAGAGTGTCACAAACAGTCCAATCACTAGGTAAGAAGACCTGGGACCCTTTGTGGATAGAACAAAGAGAGGGGCTCCTGAGGGTGGGATGCTTTGGGAGAGTAGCTGAGTGCCTCAGTTCACTGATGGGTTCTCCAGGGAACAATATGCTAGGGAATGAAAGGTGAGAGAAGGGAGTGGAGGTGGGTGTTAGAGGAGAGAATGCTCAGGGAAGGAGGAGGGGACAGGAGTTTCCCTATAGAGGCAAGGTTAACGCCAGGTTTCCAGAAAATGTGCCTGGTCACTAAAGAGACAGTCCCTCTGCGGTGTGTCCTTTGTTTTCTCTGCCCAGTTCACAGTAGCTCCCTCCACCTGCTCTGTGGCTCCTCCACGTTCACCGACAGGAATCTAACTGCTCTCCTGGTCTCCATGTTTTATGTGCCTCACCACCTCTCTCTCTTTTCCCTCCCTCCCTGGCTCCTTTCTCTCTCTTCTCGCCCCTGTCCCTCTCTTTGCAGTCCCTTCTCCTCTCAGCCTTTCTCTGTTCCCCAGTCCCTCTGCCCTCCCTCTTCCATCCCAGTCCTTTCCCCTCATCCCTCCCTCCCGCCCCTCCCTTCCCCTTTTCTCCTTTCTGTCCTCACTCCTCCCTCTTCCTTCCCCTGGCTTCCCCCCTCGCCCCCTCTCTCCCCTTCTCCCCAGTCTCTACTTTCCCATCTCCCCATGCCCTCTCCTGTCTCCTCTCTCTTCCCTCATCCCCTTTCCCTCCCTCTCCCTCTCGTCCTGGTCCTTGTTTATCTGTAAGCTCCAATTTCTAGCCTTATAGATTTACCTGCAGAGCAAGTCACCGCTCCTCTTGCAAAAACTGTTTAAGAAATCCATATCCTCTCCCTTCATTCCTTGGGCATTTCAGAAATGATATTCCTCCCCCAACTACCCCCGTCAAAATAAAATGAATTCAGCCAGCTCCTGCTGTGTGTCCTTAAATTCATTCCCTCTAGCTTCGCTGGTTTGAAAGCCTGTACCCTAGAAGGGGCCTCCTGCATTTGCTGGCAACCCTGCTCGAGTCTGATCGCCACAGATAGTGCTTTGGAGTAAAAAAAGGGGGAAAAACCCTCTCGTTGGAGATTTCAAAACAGATTCTACCAGCTTTCAAATCTGTGCACTTGCCAAGTGGCGGAGTTTGAGGGAGAGGGGTTGAGGACTTGGGGTGTGGGTGTTTGTCATAAACAAATAAGCAACAGAATTTATATATGTATAAATTTGGGCTTCCCTTGGCATGTTTGGTGTCTCTCTCCCTGGCATCCAGGGTGGGTGCTGTGGAAGTCTGACTCCTCTCAGACTTTTGCTTGGGTTCGGGGTGTGTGTGTGCCTGTGTGTGATGGAATTGAGGAGGGGGTGCTGTGTTTTTGATCTGATTCACTTGACAGATTCTTTGAATCCAGCCTACCTTTCCGCACATGTCAAACAGATGGGATCATTGTTAAAAGCCTTGAGAGCAGGGCTGAGCGGTGGGTAAGGCAGGGAGAGGGAGACAGGAGGGGCAGGAGGGGAGGGAGGGGGCACCTTCTAGTGGCTTTGTGTTTTCACACATTGGAACTGACAGGAGCCCTTCTTCTCCGTGGGTGGGGGAATGTTTGGGGGTATGGGGGCTGATGGAGGGGGTGGAAAGAGAGAGAGGTGGGGTGTTGGTGGGCAGGGTTATGATGTCACAGCCAAAGTTACAACAGGAGGAAAACACAGAAATGGTTCAACATTTTTTTTTTAACTTTGGACTGCCAAGAGCTGAAGGAGAGTGGTGAGCAAAGGAATGAAGGAGAGAGAGAGAGACAGAGAGAGAGAGAGAGAGAGAGAGAGAGAGAGAGAGAGAGAGAGAGAGAAACTAACTGGAAGCTTGAGTTTTGTGTTGCTTCTTGAAATCTTATGAATGGATTACTAGCAGCTGAGAGCCAGGAGAGACCTATAGGGGATGCAAGATCACTTACACACTAAAAGGGGGAGAAGAGCAGGCGGAATCCTTCTTCCTTGCTGTTACCCCTCCTTCCTGAAATGAATGGTAGGAAACCTTTATCAGAGGGTCTAGGGGTGGCATGGGGGAGGGGAGTACTGCCTTCTCTTTTTCTTACCTGACTGTCTTCCCTCCTCTTGAACTAAGCCTGGTCTTCCCACTTTTCTTCAGCTCTCTCTCTCTCTCTCTCTCTCTCTCTCTCTCTCTCTCTCTCTCTCTCTCCTCTCTCCCTTCTTCCCCTCGTGTCCCTCTGATTTTCTTTACATCCTCTCTCCACCCAAAGAAGCCTCTGTCTTTATTCTTGATGGGCTTCAGAAAAGAAAAAAAAGAAGAAGAACCGAGTCAGAAAAGTGAATAGAGCTAGGGAAATGAGAAAGAGAGGCGGTCCAGGACTGAGAGATCTCTGCTCAGTAATATCCACGTGCCTGCTGATAGCTTCTTTGGGGACTTTGAGGATTCAGAGGATGCTACACAGGGAAGCAGCATGCCAGGGACAGGGTGTTTTGTATGCAGCTTTTAGAAAGCAAATAGACCAGTCATTATCTGGGTTAGAGGAGTTTAGAAGATAATGAGACCCAAAGCAGAGGAGATAGTGTGATCTTACTCCAAAGTATGTGGGCTGTATGTTTTAGGTGTGGGCAGCACAGGCAGTGACTTTGAAAGTGCGAATCATTTGCTTGTTCCTTAGGTGAAGGACCTAACCCATTTCTCTACCTGTTTTGTGACACCTGTGGTCAAACACACTTGCTTGCCTCAGCAGTTAGCACCCTGCTCTGTATGTGCCCGTGTGTTTGTGTACATGCGCATGTGTGTAAAGGGTGGGGACTGGGAAAGCTGGCATCTAAACAACTAGGCTAACATGACAGAGGTTAAAATCCAAGTGTTTACTTCCCTACTCTCTGCACTCACTTGAGATCAACTGAAAAAATAATTCTTTGAGTTCAGCTGTTCAGTTTTGTAAATTACTTATTTTGAGCATCTCATTTGTTTATTTGCTCACTCAGCATATGGTGACTTTTACTAACTTAAGATTGAGAAACTCCTCAGGAAAAAAAGAAGATTTATGTGCTATGAATTTATGGGATTTCCATTTAATGTGTCGCACAGCAGGATAATTGATTTCTTCTTCCTCCCAATGTCCAACATGAAGTGAATTTGGAGTATTGTTCTTCTAAATGATTGATTGAAATAAGAAAAAATACAAGAGGTTTATGTCAAAACAAAAGAAGGAAGATGTGAGTGGCTCCTGAAAGCTTAGAGTGGGCTTATTAGGCAAGTCTGATCAAAATGTGTGTGTGTGTGTGTGTGTGTGTTTGCGCGCGCGTGCGTGCGTGCAAGAGGAGGGGGGAGAAAACACAGGAAGGAGTGCTCCAAAACAGTATTGATTGTTTGCTATTGATTGTGTAGGCTGCAGCTGCTGAGAGAGAAAGCCCGAGGAGATGTTTCCTGGGGAAACCAAGGGTGGTGTTTGTCCCCTGTGTCTCTGAGAGGTGGGGAGGTTTTCAGGAGGAAGGAGGGGACAGGGAGTAGGTGGAGTGATGCACCAAACTTATTAGCTTTGACATCATCATTGTCTTTAAATGAAAAAACAAGAAGATAATTACGGGCAGAGAAAAAGAGAGAGAAGGGGAACAGGAGAGAACAGGTCCCTTGAATATATGCTTTTCATTTTGTTCTTTTTTCATCTTCCCAGAGACCCTCAAGACTACAAGAAGGTGAAATCAAGAGCTGTCAGACTCATTTGGTTAGGAGAACAGCAGACTGGCAACCGGGAGAACTTTACAGAGACTTAGAACATACCAACAAGTTGGAAAGGGATTAAAAAAAAAAAAAACCTTCAAGCATCAACAATACTGAACTCCAAGCTGAGGGCAAGAATCTAACCTGCAAGGGTGGACTGGAAGCTGGATGCAGACCTGACTGAGGACACCTGCAGTGAAAGTTAAGTACCAGCCTGGGCTTCTGTGCCCCCAGATTCTTTGTACATTTTTCATCAATAACCATTGCATTTTGTGTCTCTATAAAAAAAAGTTTTCCTAGGCATTTGTTTTAAGGTGAACATAGGTTGGATTAAGGGTTACAAAAAGAGAAGGTAACATCTAGGGAAGGAAGAAGAGAAAGAAATGAAAACTAGAGAATGAGATTACTTTGATTGACTTCTGGTAGCCAGGGGTATGTGTTTGTGAGTGTGTATTTGAGAGAATCTGGCTTATGTCATATACTTCTAGTATCAGAGAGGGGAGGAGTTATTGAGGAAGGAAGAAAAAGAAAAAGAAGAAACTTGAGCTTCTGGGAAGACATTCAAAGGAAACAAGAGCAATTAACTTCATTCTGCAAGGACTAAAATAGAGGTGGAAGAGAAGTCAAAGGAGCAGAGTGAGAGGATCATACATAGTGGGAGCAACACAGAAGCCACACTGGCACAATTTCCATGCCAGGTAGCCGGAAGAGGTACTCCTTTGGGGCTACTTGAAAAAGTTTGGTTTGTGAACAGAACAGTTTCCCTGGTAACTGCAAATCCTTTGCTAACCATCTCTTTCTCCTCTTCCCATCTCTCTGGTGTGGTACCCGAAATTGACTTCTGGCTCTCTAGGAAGAGCTGTGGGAGGCATGATGTGTTTAAAGATCCTGAGACTAGGTCTGGTGGTCCTGGCTGGATGGGCTTTCGACTCTACCAGCTCTGAGCTAGGCTGGACTGGCAAGAAACCCATGGCTCAGAGGGGACGCCTGAAACACGTGCTTCTGGAAGGAGAACATTGTTGGCTGGGGGCTAAGGTTCAAAAACCCAGAGCTGCTCCGCAGCATCACCTCTTTGGGGTCTACCCCAGCAGCCCTGGGAACTACCTGAGGCCCTTCCCTGTGGGGGAGCAGGGAACTCATCACACAGGACACCGCAAACCAGATGCTGCGGGAAGGGCTGCAAGTCGTGTTTCCCCAGACCTGACTGGGAGTACAGAACTGAGGAGAGAGGTTGAGCAGCCAGCTGCCCCGTGGGTAGGGGATGGTCCTATTGGGCAATCTAAGCTGCTAGAAGATGATGACACTTATCTTGGCAACCAAGGATCCAAGGAGCCTCTAGGTAAGGCTGCATTGCGGGAGAGCTCAGCCAGATTCCCCATTGCTACCAACTTTGCAGACCTGAAGGAACCGGAAGCAGCTACTCAGAGGAAGGGCTGGGCCAAGGCCAGGCATCCTCGGCAGGTGGTGAAGAGGCAGGCAGAAGGTGTGCCTGGAGACCCGGATACTGCCCCTTGGCCTTTCCAACCTTGGCCTGAGGACCCACTTACACACAGGGCTCAAAGCAGTCCATTGGAGGACAGCATCCAAAATGGTGGAGGGAGCCTTGACTGGGAAACTGAGACCTTTAACCCCCAAGGAGGACTGCCTGTCTTGTACTTCTCTGGGAGGCGGGAGCGGCTACTGCTGCGTCCAGAGCTGTTGGCTGAAATTCCCAGGGAGGCGTTCACAGTGGAAGCCTGGGTGAGACCAGAGGGAGGACAGCACAACCCAGCCATCATCACAGGTAATGACTCACCCCTGAGCTTCTGGAGGTCTGGGGTATGGTGGGCTCCGTCTGTGATGCAGTTGGGTACAGGAAGCCACAGGGGATGGGGACAGAACAGGCAAGCCTGGGAGGGCTGGTCAGGGAGAAGCTGGGGCTATTTTTTTCTTTGTTTGTTTGTTAGTTTTTGTTTTTGCACAGCAGGATTCTAGACACTATTGAAAGGAAGATAAATACCCTGTTACCACAGTGGCATTTGACCCACATTTTGACCTCATGTGTTTCTGTACACATGGTGCTTGCACTTTGTAGTCCTTCAACCTAGCTCTCACCTTCTGTAAAAGGAAGGGACTTGGGGTTTTTCATCAAGAGAGCAGGGGTGTTACACTGTTTTTTTGTAGTTAGTATGGGATGATCAGATATCATTGAGAATAAATGCAAGTCCAAGGACCTGAGCGGTGAGTCATGCGTAGACCGATCCTGGCTGTGAGGGAACAGGATGCCAGGTAGACAGTCATCAATCCTGACTGATTGCCTTTTCTCTGAGCAGCCTTGGGGCTAGGCAGAAAGGTAGCACCTGTTCAATGCCCTGGGGTCCCTTTACTTTGTCCCAACAGCCATGTGTACATCCTAGCAACAGCAGGGTCTGCTGGAAGTGGTGAACACTTCCAAGCCAGAATCCTGGCAGTTAGCCCTTGCTGTTGTAAGAAGGTTCTAAAACTGAAACCTTGTGTAATTATGGTGTTAATCAGAGGCACCTGTCTGGGACTATTACCTATATTTATTTTCTGCTATTTATAGATCTTGGCTTTTATGAAAAGTCACCCAGAAAGAGAAGAATAGCATAAAATGAGTCCATTGCTTGGTTGATTGCTAAGCAGTTCAGCTACACCAACCCATGTAGAAAGATGCCCACCCCGCTCCCCAAGATGTCTCCCTTTGCTCACTCAAAATGTTGATTTAAAGCAGGGGGTAAAGATCAGACATCACTCACTGTCTTATTCTCATTTTGCATCCCCTACGAGAGTACTTAACACAAAGTAAGGCACCTAGTAAAATCATTTCATCTTAATTTGCATTATCCATAACCCTCTGACATTTGTCATGATACTGATGGAGAAACTGAGGCAATAAGAGGCATGCCAGAGGCAGACTGGGGCTAGAACCAAAGCCCCTGAATTGCTTGACAACTCTCTAAACTGAAAACTTCTCAGGTTGCTGTGTCTCTGCAAGTAAGTTTCAGACCAAGGAAAGAGATCTGGAAGGAGGGAGTGTCTTCCAATGGGGTGTTGCTGGAACATCCCTTCGGACACTCTGTCTCCCCCTCTTTGGCTGTGCTTTCTCCTTTGGAAGCTGGGATTCCCAGACACTGAGCACTCTCAAGTCTTGTGGTTTTGCTTTATTTTATTTTTGGGTGGGAGAGGGAGTGAGGAAAGGGGAGAAAAAAGGGGCTGGGCTGTAAGATAGGTGGAGGCAGAGAAAGCATAGAAGGAAATCCTTATTCTGGGGCCAAAAGGAAGAAATAATGAGATGATTATCTGATCAGAGTTGGCAGCTTCACAGTTTTTCCCAGATGACATCTTCTTGCCGCCTAATCTTGCTTCCTAGTACCCATCTGCCAGGGAAACTGTGTGCTTGCAGTCTAGACTGAGACCCACAATTCTACTAGCCCCTCCTCTTGCAGTAGCTACGGAGGGACCTGGGATCAGTTCCCTGGCTGTGAAGAATTAGAGAGGGATCCAACAAGAATGCATGTGGGAGGGACTGAGGGGCTATTGCTTTGGGTTATGAAAGCTCTAACCTGATGGAAATGGCACAGGACTGTGGGTACCTGAGCCCTGTCCTGTTTCCCCATATGTCTTCTGTCTCATGCGTACACGGAGGTGTGCAATGCCATGATTTGACCTCCCAGCTCCTCCACTGTGTCCCTCTTCACCTTGTCCTGCTGTCTGTCGCCATCAGCTCCTCTGCGTTGCTGCAGCACATGCTCCATGCATGCTTCTAGGTGCTCATCTGAACTCTGTTAACCTCTGGAAGCATGTAAAATTGGGCAGGAAATCGTTTGCAGACACTCTAGCTTCTGAGGTTTCTTTCCCTTCAAATTCAAGTGGTCTCTGTGGCATGCTTAGACTTCCCTTGGATGACTCCTACAGAGGGGCTGAGCACAGAGAACACCCAGGTCTTCCCTCCTCAACACACATGTTTATACCTTTCTTCAGTTTGAACACAGTAGAAAATACATATCAGTAAGGATTTAGGGTAATAATGTGTCAAAGATAAGCACTGAAAACAAAGTGTTCATTCTTTAGGGTTCTAGCAAGGGGATCCTGAGAAGTCAGGTATCCTTGTCTTGTCTCTGTGCTTGACTACTTATTTTCATTGTGGAGCCAATGCTGAGGATTGAAGTTGCCAAAACAAATTCTCCACAAGATTAGTGTTCAGTTTGCAGTGATCTATTCATACCCATCGACAGAAGCCCACCTTCTCTCTCTTCCTCTAACCTTAGTTGTTGGGAACTACAGACAATCACCTGTGACAGTCTGACTACTCTGGGAAGGACAATCCAAAGTGTTCCAAGACTTGGCTTCTTTGCCTTTTTTCCAACAGCTCTCAAACCTCAACTTTTAGCTATCTAACTTAAACTAAGTTTCCAGTCCTCCATCTACCAAACTTGGGGTATTTTCTCTGCAGCAGAGATTCAAGCAATTCAGACACAGCAATCTTTGTAGAACCCCCACCCCCACTTGGCCTAGGGACCTTAGGGAATACTTCTCATGTCGGCACTAGGTGGCAGTGTTGCTTCGCACACAAACTAGGAAGAGGCCATTGGGGTATGTCTGCTTTCCTGAAGGACTGTCCTGCCTGGCCCCTGGGCCGCAATTAATCACCCTCTTCCAGAATGTTGTTGGTAGACAGCCTTTGGGATCAGTTTCATCTAAGTCTTTTTTGCAGGGCCTATGTGAAAGGGCTAAGGTGGCACTTTTGGAGTTGTGACTAACTTGCTCTCCTAGTAACAATAAGGAAAACAAAATCAAGCAGTTACCCTCTCTTTCCACCCAAGCACCCATATTCTTTCAAGACAGGGCTCCTGAATGGAATGGATTGCCAAAATGCTTTCAATGAGGATCAAGGGCAGTTCAGGGCTCACAGAATTTGAGGACTGAAAGTCTCTCTGGCTTTGGGGCTAAGGAGTGAGTTGGGAGTACCTGGGCTTCCTGTATGGTGTGGTAGACCTGAAGTTGTCTGCCCCACAGCTGAAGCAGGTCAATCAAGGCCAAGGGGACACTGTGTGCAACTGCTCTGCTGTAGGGGCCTCCATGATGGCAATAATCCAGAGCCTGGGAGGTCACAGCGTTGTAGCCACTGCATAGTAGCTGAGGTCAGGAGTCCATTTGGTAGAGCTACTGAGACTGAATAGCAGAATAAACCAAATGCTGTCTTATTTGGTGTGAACTCTTTGAGCTCCAGCACCCAACCCTGAACTCATCCTGTTTCCTTTCCTCCTTCTCAACTTCCTTTCCTCGTCTTCAACCCCAACATACACAAAAGAGAAAATTTTAATGGGTTCCTCAGTACCCATAATTGATTTCAAATGTTCCATGAAGTTTCCCAGCTGAATAACTACCTGCAGCTCCAAGTTTCAGGAGACTGAGTCACTAAGTCCATGGCAGAATGCAAGCCTGAGCCCAGGTTTCTGCAGCCAGCAAATATTTATCGAGTGTCTTGCCATGCAGGGTGCAGCAAGTCACTGTGGGGAACACAAAGAGATCTAAGATACTGTCTGTGATGTGAGGCAAGTTTTATGTCCCCCAAGCATCCAAATATTAGGGCCTATCCTATGTAGAGTTTGGGAGACAGACAAATATGGAATCAGACTTCTCTGGCACTTATCAGAAGTGTGACTGTTGGTAATTTGTTGAGGTCTTTGAAGCTCTAGTTTCCACTAATTGAAAAAGACAATGTATAAATATATGACTCTATTTAAGTAACATTTAAAAATCTGAAAAATGAAAGAAAATCAAGAAGACAGAAGAGAGAAAGACTTGCAGATTGCTATGATGCTTAAATTAGTCATGTAGGTAAAGTGGGTCTAATATCTAGAACTCTTTTTACCCTCAGCCCTTTGAAACTATTTTTATTTGAGACTAGGTCAGAGTCACTAAGTGGCCTGGGTTAGCCTGGAACTTGCAGTCCTCCTGCCTCAGTCTTCCAGAGTGTTGATATTGTGACCAATGGGATGCATGTATGACATGACACTTAATATCAGTGAGAGGCCTCCATTGCTGAAAGCAGAGTATTAATTCACTCCTTAAGTTTTCATTTTTCTTTAGGTGAGACATTAACTTTAATTCTATAAGAACTTAGTTTGCTAACCTGTAAAATGGGAATGGTAGCAAATAGGTTTTCTATTTAAGGCATTAAGATAATTAAAAACCCTGAAATCAGAGATCCAAAAGAACCATTTACTTTATTTTAAAAATATCATTTGTTCTTTTTCAGCCTGGTCAGTATATTTCAAATAAACTGGACAATAGGTACTAAAACTTCTTTGGAACCATAAACACTTTTGAAAATCTAATATAAGCTATACTTACTCTTCAGCAAAATGTACATTTGTGTGGGTTCCACAATGTTCAGAGCTTTCTAGATTTCCTGTTGGTCAGGTCTCTAACACCTAAGAAGTAAGATTTTACAGGATGTTTTTCCGAGTAAGGTAATTTTATTCAGGTGGGAGGGTTTTGTTCATGTGGAATATGGAGCTTTGGAAACGGATTTGCTCAGAAATAAACAGAATGTAAAAAGGGGCCACTCGTGCTGTAGCTGTGATTACCCAAACAGGCACAAGTGTAGGTGGAGAGCCGAGTCCCCGCCTTTCCTGGAGCTCCTCCAGGGATGAGGTTCCCAAGTCTCTCCTCACTTGTCTCTTCTGATGTGCATCAATGACAAACTCAGATATTTATCCTCATAGGACCCCAAGGAAGTGCCCACTTCCTTTCCTGTGGAATTAATTCAGTGCCTTG